AGGCGTCCTTCAGCTGGCCCCTAAACAAATATATATACTAGTTCAGTGATACAGAACGCCATACTAAACTCCAAATTGTACACAAGAAACTAAAATTAAAAATAATACAAGACTAACAAAGGCTTGTATTATTGTTTGTGCATGTATATCGTACAGAGCATGTTTTGGTGCATTTCTATGATTGATACTGTTTTCTGAATATTTACAAATTCTCATTTGATCACTATGGTCTTCTAATTTTTTTTAGAGATTTTGCCACTTCTGTACCTGTTTGTATTGGAATTCCAGCAGCCTCACATAAGATGACGATAGAATTGCCTGTACCATGATTGGCTTTGTGACATGCCGTATGTACCCGGCCTGTAAAGTTTCTAGCATAGGTAACATTAGCTGGTACGGTGCTACGTATGGATCGATTGAGGGCTTCAACTTTTTGTGTATTTGCACTGTTGGCTGTTCTATAGCTAGCAAGCATGCCTGGACCCAGACGGTAGTTGACACATTGGCACAGAATATTTTCACTGTTCTGATTGAACTCAATTTCAAAATTATGCCTCTTTAAATATGCACTTTTGTCAATCCATGATTGAGATTTTCTAGATTTAGAACAAACAAATGAATATAGGAAACAATCTGTGTGATCTCCACAGTAACAGTGTACTATGGCATCTGAAACATATGATAGTTTTGATTTCATAACATCAGGAGATTTGTGATATCTGATATTAGCCTGTACATACTACGCCTGACAATAAGCCTGTACATACTACGCCTGACAACGGGCTGCAATGTCAGAAGCAAACAAACTTTGAAGCCGGGTTCTCTGCACCTTTAGCCGTGCGGGCATAATGTAAAAAACTGCGGACAGATTATTTACAAATTTTCTATGGTTAGATGCCACATGTCTGGTGTCAAGTAATGAATAGGGGTTGTTGAAGTTGATCCTTCCTGAAATAAACTCTCTGTTGCTCTGTAAGCACTGCTGTCTAGGTCATTAGTTACTTCATTAACCTCTAAACCATCCTATTTCAATTCTTCGAAGCACTATCTTGCCCACCGCTCTTCATTACCTATACTGTCTTGCATGTTAATGTTTGCGGTGCACAGACCAGCATGTTCACCTACTTAAGTACTAACTGTATGCTTTCTCTTCCTCGAACAAAGTTTAGATTTAGGTAAAGTGTTTATAATACAATGTTTGTAAGTCTCATTATCAGCAACAGTATAAGCACACTGGGGTGCTGGTTGAAAAGGGGTCTTCCCAATGCCAGAATAAATAGCATTAGTATACACAGTCAGCATTCTTTTTTATCCTTTTGATTTTCTCCCTTTGTCGTTGTAAATCTCTCATGTTTTCTTCTTCTATCTTTTCAGATATTGCATTAGCAGTGTGTTGCATACCAGAGACAGATGGAGGAGGAGTATTTGATGCCATACAAATTTTACGGTAACTTGTTGTACTAATGGGAGTATGGTGTAGACCAAGTCGTAAACCAAGATTTTTTTTTGCAGCACGTCCCCTTTTTATACTTGCAACCTCTTCGTACAAGTTAAACATTTTAGATCTGTATGTGCATTTTGTACATTTTGCGCACTCTCTCCAAGCTGACCCCCACTTTTCTTCCATTGACAAGTCCCATTCAAGGATGCCATTGCAATGTGGGGATACATTTTAATGCTTCCTGAACACCTCATGCCACATTTCTGTGTTTTTGCTTATTGTTACTGTTGGTGTATTTTTCAGATCTGGAGGTAAAAAATTAATGAAAGACTATAATTAACTCCCTTTCTTACATCACTGTTTAGCAACTATTGCATATTTTTCTTTTTTATATTATGTAGTATCATGTGTAAAATTAGGATTATCTCCCTTTGAGACTGTATTTTTCAGAGCAGTTTTTTTAAGGCTATGAAGCAGATATAGTTGTAAATAAGCACTTTTCAAGTATTTTAACATTCGAATAATCTTTTGGTATGTAGAAATAATAAAAATATTAAATACTGTTAATAGTTGCTTTATTAATTGTAATGCAAAGTATGATCTTACCCAGTCTTAATTTCATTCTCTGCAAATTTTTCTACTTCAGTCTTGGCTGCCTGTTTTGGACGCAGAAGCCGCCCTGATATTGAGTGAATAGGAATTTCTGTAGAGTGTTTGATATTTACAAGTTTTGTCACAAGATCAAAGTCATCCTTGGATAGTCTTTCAAATTTAACCACAGGGAATAAAAGGTATTTTAGAATTTTCCATTTAAGTCCTCTGTTATGTGGAATATTTCCCTTCTTAAATCTGTGTTGTTTTAAGTGCACAGCATAACGTCCCATTTTTAGTAATTATTTTGATGAAATAATTATTCTAATAACAATATTTGTCACACTCTGATTTCATTTAACAAAAATAAGAAGAAGGAAAGTGCAGAAACAGGACAAATTTTATTGCTAAGATATCATTTTTACGGTTGACAGTTGAAGAAAAGTCTGTTTTTCTCTGACTCTACCAGTATGATAAGACATTCTCATCTTTGATAGTAAATGACCCTATAGTTATCTGTGTGCACTTTAAATATCTATCCAAGATATTAAAACACAGATTTAGTGTAGGGAAATATTATTGTTGACTTTTTTTTTGTATGACACTCATTTAAAAGCCTTTGAAACAACTTTGTGTGGTATTTTCAGGTTATACTCATTAAAACTTCCATATATGGAGACATTAATCGCAGAATATATCATGACTTATGTTCCTAAGATTAACTGGCAATATGTTTTCTAGCAAACACAGAAAACAGTTCATATTTATTAAACAATATATTTTACATCATTTTTTATACAACATTCAATATACAACTGTATGTACAAAATACACATTGGCCACAATATGCCGCAATGTGGGCTATAGTACAAATTTTCCTTTAACTTTGACAATTAAGCCTTTATGGATCTTAAATTGTATTGAATCTTGAACTTGAAAATAGGGTTAATTACATAATTAAAACAAAACAAGTATGATTTGAGGAAGAATTGTCTTTATAGGGGTAAATTAAGTAAATAAATATACGTCATCAGGGACCGATCATTTGGGGGAAAGCTGTCAGTAAAAAAAATGAAGACCTGTGCTTCAATGATTGGTATGACCCTATGTTTTGATGGTTGCAAAAGATGGGGCTACATTTGTACTTTAATGAATGATATATGAAAGCTTCTAATTTCTAAAGGTAAAAAATGTATAAATTTAATTGAAGATGTAGGTTTACATTGAAGTTAATGGGAGATTGTTTACCGAAGTTACCCCTAGAAGCTGTGATACTGTCAGTTATCTCCCCTTTCTGTTTCAAAAAATGACACAACATTGTTTCTTATATTCTGCGAAAACTGCTCAAATAATAAATAATGTGTATACGGGGTCGACCCCTATGTCGACAACCCATTGGTCTGAAACCCAATTAGTCCGACACCCCAACAGTCCGTCACCCAATTTGTCCGACACCCCAAAAGTGCAACACATGTGCAGGTTGTAATTGAAAATCTAGTTCATAGAATCGGTAGACGTGGTACTTGAACTTGTCTTTACTCTCCTTTCTGAGTATAAATAATTAAATGGGAAAGACAGTACTTTCCGTCTGGTATGTAAGAAATACCAGTCTATCGTGACCCAGATAAACACAAGGTTATTTCCAAACCTACAAATAGCATTGGAAAAGTTAATTTGTATTTTTAGCTTCATTATTGACCGTTATAAATAGGAAGGTTTATTTATAAATTTATATCAATTTGTGATTTTCCGAAAATTTGAATAAAAGATATAAGCTTAAGCTCGATTTTCCATATAATAAGCTGTAGTTGATTCTTTTAAGTAAGTACACATCTTTTTATTTATGTTAACATGTTCAAATAAGTTTGATATTTTATCGACTTACTGCCAATTATTTTCTACAGTAACAGCACAATGTTTATTCCATTGATTTACTAGTTTTGTATATTCGGCACTCGAGATTTGGCAGTTACAGGATACAAAGCGAAAAGATGTTTGCAAGGGGTTCTACTATATGTATTTCTTGTTCCATTTTCAATTACACTATTTTGAATAATTTTTGGTTATTAATTATGAATTATCTATCTGGAAACAATTACAAATTAACATTTTGAAGTATACATAAAACCTTCATTAAACAAACGTGTCTCTTAACAAATCAAGGAAGCAGATTTTTTGTATATTTAGTCTTGATACATTATTATACTATTTTGGCAATTTCAACAGACTGACTTTTCGCATGTAGAATCTCACAGAAAGGAATCATAATTAAACGCGAACAGACCGACATCCATTTTATTTCCAAAATGTCTTCTGATGGGAAACTCTTAACAGGACTTAACGTTTTAAGGTTTAGACTTTCAACATGGTGTTAAGATAAAAATGACCGTTTTAGAGAAACATCTGGGCTATAAATTAGCGTTTTTGCTGCTGAGTGTCAGTTTTTCTTATATTAAATCAGACATACATTGTACATTTCCACCACCGTCTAACAATTAAATTAAAGGTATTGTTGGGTGCTTAATGTTAGGTGGCAAATAGTCCATGCATGTTAAACTTATAGAAAAGTCAATAAATTTGCAAATATTAAAAAGATAATATATACTTGACGAAATCCATAGACGTGAAATTAATGCAATAGAATCGAAAATGAAAAAACACCTACTAAAGAACTCCATTTTACGTATGACGTCATGTTTTGAATTGACGTTAATGTGACAAGATCATTCGTGAAATACGCTCACTTTTTAAAAATTGCATTTTATAAATGTTCCATGTTTCCCAGCCACTTTTTTTGTTGTGAATAACCGTTTTGTAATCGACATAGTGTTTGTACAATTGTTTATAGGTTACGATGCATGTCGATTTACGTGGGAATAAACTGTAATAACCATAAACATGTTCATATATGAGTCTGCGTTAAATATAGATATATCTCGAATTTTATCACGCAGTTATTTATAAAGCATTAGGAGCACGTCATATTAGAATCACATACTACATTCACATATGAATATACGATTATTTCATTTCAAATCTAATTAGTAGGTGGTAATTGTGAATATTTTCAGTTTGGTAAGTTATTATTATTATTTGATTATCTATTGATTCTATATATATAATTCTTACAATTCATATGACCGAATTAAATCTTGCTTAAAACTGAAGATGAAAGTAAAATGATATTATGCAATCTCCCTTTGGGAAGTTTATTGTTATAAAATCAATTTCCCTGACATCCGACTTTTTTAGTTACTGTTACCACTTTTCTGGAATTCATTGTCAAGTAGATAAACTTTTTGTGTAGTTTTAAACGTACAAACCACTTACCTTACTTATTTCTGTAATAACAATTAGGCTCTGAAGGAAATAGACTTCTTTTTTTCTGGATTACCTTCATCAGGAACATGTAATTGCTCAAAGCCGAATATATAAAAGCCAAGGATATATAAGAACCGAAACAGTTGAAGTGCTGCATGACCAAGGAGGACCAAACAAATAGCCAAATCCATCCGAGGTCAAATTTGACTGAGAAAGTTGAAACCTTAGTTTCTTTATAATTTCACAATTCATAAATGGACAATTTTAAAAATGCTAGCTATAAATCATGTCAGTACCGATGTACCGACTACTAGTCTGATGATGTCTTCGGGGACATAACTGACAACGCATTGGCAAAAACATAAAACGGCGAAAAGAAAAACAAGTAAAAAAACTACTACATAGAAAACTGAAGACGTGGCAATACATACATAATCGTTGGGTGATCTCAAGTGCTCCTGAAGGGTAGTGAATCCTGTTCTGCATGTGGTTCCCTGTACAAATTCGGTGAATATTAACATTCCTTAATGTCATAATCAACTAAAAACTGGACGGGATTGAGATTATGACTGTTTTACCCTTTGGACCACCTGAGACAACCCCCGGTTATTACAGGGGTTCGTGTTGCTCAGTCTTCAGTTTTCTGTGTTGTGTTTTGTTGACTGTTGTTCGTCTTTTCGTAGTCTCTATTCTGTCTTATAATTATGAGTTTGAATATCCCTTTGGTATCTTCCGCCACGCTTTTGGAACATATCTGCGGTCATTTGTGACAAAGTGTTGGCGCAAGTCTCTATACAATGTCTTGATAAAACCAATTGTTGAACATTATATGACATTACACATTCTATAACTAAAAGTATCACATGTATTAAAAGATTAGTCTAGGCTTGTGATACCCTCGGTGATCATCTCAATTGATGTATTGATTTACTAAAGATACCAGGCATACTAATTGAAGGCAAGACGCGCGTTTTGGTCTCCCAACACAACCCATTTAGAAAGCCAAAGCGATGTTGAAGTTTAAGTGCACTGAAAAACAATAATTCCGAAAATTGGTACAATATTTGTTTTTAATTATTGATTAATGGAGATGTGGTATGATTTCACTTTCCATCAGATACCTGGACGAGAATTCAAATAACCGTAGAACGCGGTACAGCTTTCAACAATGAGTGAAACTCTTGTGGAATAGTAGCAGTACAAGGTTTCCTGCATAACTAATTGTAAATCAATTTAAAACAGAAAAATCGAATGCCTTATGTATGCAAATACGAAAACGAAAAACAATGATCATATTGTTAAATGTGTGCACTTTAAATGATCTATATAAGATATTAAAACACAGATTTAGTGTAGGGAAATATTATTGTTGACCTTTTTTTGTATGACACTCATTTAAAAGCCTTTGAAATAACTTTGTGTGGTATTTTCAGGGTATACTCATTAAAACTTCCATATATAGAGACATTAATCTCAAAATATATCATGACTTATGTTCCTAAGATAAACTGGCAATATATGTTCAAGCAAACACAGAAAACAGTTCGTATTTACTAAACACTATATTTTACAATATTTTTTATACAACATTCAATATACAACTTTATGTACAAAATACACATTGGCCGCAATATGGGCTATAGTACAAATTTTCCTTTAACTTTGACAATTAAGCCTTTATGGATCTTAAATTGTATTGAATCTTGAACTTGAAAATAGGCTTAATTACATAATTAATACAAAAAAAGTATGATTTGAGGAAGAATTGTCTCTTATAGGGGTAAATTCAGTAAATAAATATACGTTATCAGGGACCGCCCATTTAGGGGAGAGCTTTCAGTTTCAAATTGAAGACCTGTGCTGCAATGATTGGTATGACCCTATGTTTTGATGGTTGCAAAAGATGGGGCTACATTTGTACTTTAATGAATGATATGTAAAAGCTTCTAATTTCTAAAGGTAAAAACGTTATAAAACTAATTAAAGATATAAGTTTTTACATTGAAGTTAATGGGAGATTTTTTACTGAATTTACCCCTAGTAGCTGTGATACTGTCAGTTATCTCCCCTTCAAAAATGACACGACATTGTTGTTTATATTCTGCGCAAACTGCTCAAATCATAAATACTGTGTATACGGGGTCGACCCCTATGTCGACAACCCATTGGTCTGAAACCCAATTAGTCCGACACCCCAATAGTTCGTCACCCAATTTGTCCGACACCCCAATAGTGCAGCACATGTGCAGGTTGTAATTAAAAATCTAGTTCATAGAATCGGTAGACGTGGTACTTGAACTTGTCTTTACTCTCCTTTCTGAGTATAAATAATTAAATGGGAAAGACAGTACTTTCCGTCTGGTATGTAAGAAATACCAGTCTATCGTGACCCAGATAAACACAAGGTTATTTTTAAACCTACAAATAGCATTGGAAAAGTTAATTTGTATTTTTAGCTTCATTATTGACCATTATAAATAGAAAGGTTTATTTATAAATTTATATCAATTGTGATTTTCCGAAAATTTGAATAAAAGATATAAGCTTAAGCTCGATTTTCCATATAATAAGCTGTAGTTGATTCTTTTAAGTAAGTACATATCTTTTTATTTATGTTAACATGTTCAAAATAAGTTTGATATTTTATTGACTAACTGGCAATTATGTTCTACAGTAGCAGTACAATGTTTATTTCATTGATTTACTAGTTTTGTTTATTCGGCACGAAGTATACATAAAACCTTCATTAAACAAACGTGTCTCTTAACAATCAAGAAAGCATATTTTTTTGTATATTCAGTCATGATACATTATTATACTATTTTGGCAATAGCAACAGACTGACTTTTCGCATGTAGAATCTCACAGAAAGGAATCATAATTAAACGCGACAGCCCGACATCCATTTTATTTCCAAAATGTCTTCTGATGGGAAATAAAAATAAATTTATGTTGTAATATGTTTGAACTACTTATTTATAAATCAACTCTTACAGCCAACCAAATGTACAAGTTTCTACACTAAATAAAATGTATCCGTCATGTTGTTCATATGTCCTGTTCAGTCTTTCAGTTCAGACATTTCATCTGCAGTCAACAAAGATCGGTTCAGTCTATGTTTAGGCTTTTTAATTTTTGTTATCTGCATGTATAAAACAACAACATACTAAATTGTCTGAAAAGCTACTGAACAATATTAGATTCACTGCAAGCCAAATGTCTGAACAGTACAGAATTTACAACAAGAAAAAAATCAAAAAATTATTTAAAGCACGTAACTCTTAACAGGACTTAACGTTTTAAGGTTTAGACTTACAACATGGTGTTAAGATCAAAATGGCCGTTTTAAAGAAACATCCGGGCTATAAATTACTGTTTTGTTGCTGAGTGTCAGTTTTTCTTATATTAAATCAGACATACATTGTAAATTTCAGCCACCGTCTAACAATTAAATTAAAGGTATTGTTGGGTGCTTAATGTTAGGTGGCAAATAGTCCATGCATGTTAAACTAATAGAAAAGTAAATAAATTTGCAAATATTAAAAAGATAATATATACTTGATGAAATCCATAGATGTGAAATTAATGCAATAGAATCGAAAATGAAACAACACCTACTAAAGAACTCCATTTTACGTTTGACGTCATGTTATGAATTGACGTTAATGTGACAAGATCATTCGTGAAATACGCTCACTTTTTAAAAATTGCATTTTATAAATGTTCCATGTTTCCAAGCCACTTTTTTGTTGTGAATAACCGTTTTGTAATCGACATAGTGTTTGTACATTTGTTCATAGGTTACGATACATGTGGATTTACGTGGGAATAAACTGTAATAACCATAAAAATGTTCATATATGAGTCTGCGTTAAATATAGATATATCGCGAACTTTATCACGCAGTTATTTATAAAGCATTATGAGCACGTCATACTAGAATCACATACTACATTGCCTACTACATTCGCATACGAATAAACGATTATTTCATTTTAAATTAGTAGGTGTAAATTGTGAATATTTTCAGTTTGGTAAGTTATTATTATTATTTGATTATCTATTGATTCTATATATAATTCTTACAATTCATATGACCGAATTAAATCTTGCTTAAAACTGAAAATGAAAGTAAATGATATAGGGCAATCTTCTTTTTGGTAAGTTTATTGTTATAAAATCAATTTCCCTGACATCCGACTTTTTTAATTACTGTTACCACTTTTCTTGAATTCATTATCAAGTAGATAAACTTTTTATGTAGTTTTAAACGTACAAACCACTTACCTCACTTATTTCTGTAATAACCATTATGCTCTGAAGGAAATAGACTTCTTTTTTTCTGGATTACCTTCATCAACAACATGAGGAATGCTCAAAGCCGAATATATAAAAGCCAAGGATGTATAAGAACCGAAACAGTTGAAGTGCTTCATGACCAAGGAGGACCCAAAAAAAAGCCAAATCCATCTGAGGTCAATTTGCCTGAGAAAGTTGAAACCTTATAGTTTCTTTATAATTTCATAATTTATAAGTGGACAATTTTAAAAATGTTAGTTATAAATCATGTCAGGACCGATGTACCGACTACTAATCTGATGATATCCTCGGGGACACTGACAACGCATTGGCAAAAACATAAAACGGCTAGAAAAAAAAACAAGTAAAAAAAATACTACATAGAAAACTGAAGACGTGGCAATACAAACACAATCGTTGGGTGATCTCAAGTGCTCCTGAAGGGTTGTGAATCT